CATTAGGCTGGCTAGTCTGTCAATTTTTTGGAAAGACCAAATCCACCAGTTGGAACAACCTTATTTCAGAAGAACACACGGTGCAAGAGAGGAAGTGGTATAGTCTTGTTCAGTGTTTCTCAACCTTGGCAACTTTAAGATGTGTGGACGTCAACTCCCAGAATTCTCCAGCCAGCAATTCTGAGAATTGAAGTCCACTCATCTTAAAGTTGCTAGGGTTGAGAAATACTGGTCTTGTTTATACCTACAATGGAGGCTGTAGGTTCTCCATCTCTGGAGATTTTTAAGAAGAGCCTGAACAGCCACGTCTTATGGATGATTTCATTGATTTTTCTGCACATTGCAGAGGACTAGATGTAGACAATCCTTGTGCTCCCTTTCAGCTCTATAATTCTATGATTCAGTTATTCAAAAAGACCTTGACTGAGAATTAGTTATGAATAAAATACCTGCTGCTATGATATGTGTTTGATATTTATTCCTCTGGCATCAAATTTATTATAACTATCCTTTTACCTCTTACTGGAGAGGGACTTTTAAGTTGCTCAGAATCTTTGTGGAGTGTCAGGTAAGCTCAAATAAATAAATAAATACATAAACTAATGACATTGGAAGAGGAACATGTGAAAATCTTTGATACTGTGGCTGAGATATAAGATGGAGTTGCCTAGTAGATATTTTATTTATTTATGATATATAAAATATTCTTATTGGATTTTTTAAATCTAAAATTGCTTTGAAAGGAGAGTGTTAATATGAAATCCCAGAATTATAATGTAAAAGACACAATTCACATAGAAAATATGATTGGAAAGGAGAAAGAGAAAAAGCAACATTAGGTACTTTTCATAAATTTACAGTTATTATAATACCTACCTTGGAGAATGGCACATTTCAACCCTTAATATCTCTAGGTATGGCTGACAAATTCCCTTCTGAAATTCCAGAGTTTTGTTGTAAGAATCCTGACAACTAAATAGTTAGCATTTTCTGAATCACCTTGGTGCCATCTGGAGTTTTGCAGCCCAAGTATAATATCCCTCTCTGCTGCCAGTCAGTGTTGACAAAACTGGACTCAGTGGCCTGACTCATTGTAAGCTTTGCCAATTTCTAATATATATGTTTGTAAAAGATTATCTTTTCAATAACAAACTAGCAAATGTGAACTTCAGTAAAGAGCTGTGTGTGTGATGGGTAGAATGTTGGGTTAAATGTCTAAAGACTTTGAACTCTTGACTGGCAAAGATGATATCTGAATGACCATGAATTGGTCTGTCTTAGATTGTCCTGACAGGGCTATTACAAGTATTAATATTAAGTAAATCTTATAAATACCATATAACAAAATAGAACTATATTTCAGTGTATAGTTTATTTGGCTGTAAGATACAAATAGATAGCATCTTGGGCATCTCTGAATTAATCAGGGTTTAAATAAACAAGCCTATTTCCCTCACCTTCCCCACTTTTTTACAGGGAGCAAACAGCTATGGACAACTTGGTCTTGGTCATAAAAATGATGTCTTCCTGCCCAAGGCTGTGAAGGCATTTCTCTTTAATCAGACTTGTATCAAAAGCATTACTGGAGGAGGAGGTCATTCTGCTGTTCTTACTGGTGAGAATCCAACTATAATATTTCCTTGCATACTGTGAAGTTCAGCTCTGGCAGATTGTAGATCCTTCCTGCACGATCAGTCAGAATATTCCCCATCCATGGTTCTTTCTTTGTATGATGCTTATGGTATCCAAGTCCCCTCTGCTCCCTGTAGATAATAATAGAACAATTTGAAATATATGTGTAATTGTTTGGAGAAAAGGAAGTTGAAGCTATGCTGCTGCTACTTATTATTATTACTATCATCATCATTTTTATCAAACCCTTTAAGGCAAATCAAACTCATCAAACAAGAACCACTTGGATTTTTGGAAAGATCTTTATTGCTAGTAGTAATGTGGCCAAATCTTGACAACTTGTCAAATCAATTCGCCAGCTCAACTTATACCTAGCATAATTAAGGTGGAATTAGTCTGAGTCTCTTTCTGACATTCCCCCCACCCCCAATGGACTCTGGAATATTTTCGGTAACAGGCCTGCTTCTCCCTGTAAGGGTCATGCTCCGTCCTCCATGTTCCTAGGCTCTGTTAGATATTTTGTCACAATTGTCATCATCATTATATTTTTATGCCATTCTTCTTCCCCAAAGAGCCATAGCATGCTGTACAAGATAATAAAAACTTGAACACAGCAATTAAATAAAACAATCAATGATAAAACTACTAAACTACTAAAATAAAACAATAAAAACAGTATCCAAAACTGAAAGCAATTCATTTCAAAGAGGCAGTCCAAAAGCAGTTTTGTCCCCGAGCAGATGTTATTCTGTTCTGGGTGAACAGGCATGAGTTTAATTGTTGTCTAAAAAAAGACAGGATGTGGGCCACTATATTTCCTTCAGGAGATGTGCTGCCACTAAGAAGCCAGCTCCCCAGCTACTCTTATAGGTTGAGTGATATTGGTGTTTTAAGCACTTGATCCTAAACCATTTAGCACTATGGACTATTGCAAGCTTATTAAATTGGGCTTGGTAGCTCACAGCAGCCAGCTGGTATGATTTGTTTTCATTTTCCTGCTTCACTTAGTAATCGGGCAACTTCATTCTGTACCAGCTGCAACTTCTATATCAGAGAGCGTCACATTGACATATTGCTGTAATTCAGTTGTAGATTATTGAGGTTAGGGTTACTGAGGCTATGCTATTTGAGACTAGACTGTTTGAGTCCATGTAGATTTGTAGCAGGATATAAGGCTTCCTTGCCATGGAGGCTTCTGTTCTTCAAGAATCAGCCTGGAAACCAAGAGAGCCCCCAGATTGTATACCTCTTCTGGAGCGTGTGCTCCCTTTGTCCAGAACAGGACACCTTTCCAGGTCCCAGGCTTGAGAATGCCTTTTCCACAATACCTCCATTTTATCTGGATTCCACTTCAGTATGTTGGCCATTATCCAATCCATCACAGTCCCCAGGCAACTATCAAACACTTCCACACCTTCTCTTGTTTGAGGTGGAAAGGAGAGAGAGAACTGTCATCTACATTATTGTTTACACAGAATGCCAGATCTTTGGATAACTATTTTTAAAAAGAATAGAACCCTGTGGGGCTCCACAATGCAAGTGCCATGGGGTGTACTAAAATCTCCCATTGCTACTAGCCAATGACAGTCTGCAAATAGAAATGGAGCCACTGCGTAATACAAAACCTCCAATTCCTGACCCACTGAAGCACTCCAGCAATATTCTGTGATTAATGCTATTAAAGATCATTGAGAGATCCAGAAAAATCCACATGGTAGCTCTCCCTTATGTCTCTACTATGTCTCTAAGGTCATCAATCAGGGTTTATTGAAGGGTGTTTCAGGGCAATATCTAAATATGAAGCTAGTCTGACATGAATTAGATTTTAAATATTTTTGATGAGCTAAGTATTTTAGCTATGTGGAAATAGAGTTTATGGAATTTAGAAGATAAACATCCATTCAGAATTGGATTATGGTGGATATCATTGCTTTAGTTTTGTTGGATGGGCAGTTTTATGCCAGAGTTATGCAGGGCTGAAGAATATTTTAAAAACAAACCAACAAAATACAGTTAGTTAAGAAATAATTATATCACTCCTTATTACAGTAATTATACCCTTAAAGAACCCATTTAATAAGTATCACAATGCTCACACAATTGTTCTGTAAGAATTAATGTACCAGTCCTTTAGAAGACGGTGATGCAAATTATGACTGATTCAGTGATTTAAATCATAAACTAATCCAGTGAGTTCAGTAATAAACAAATTGGGTCAAATCTGTATAGGAGTTATTTGAGGATCAGTTGCCTAGACATCTGTTAAAAGCCAGGATGATGTCAAATTATGTCATGTCCCTCATTATGTCATTTCCATCATGATGCATGTGATGTCACATGCCCTCCCACTTGCCATTCCTCTGCAAACACCCATAGTCAGATGTGTTCATTTAATCCCTCATGGTTTACCTGTACAGGTAGGACAAGACCTGTGAAGGTCCCCTGTATTTTTACCACAGAACTTGCATGTTTTCATTTGTAGGGCAAAACATCCAAGTTGGGAGTTCAGACAGCTATCTTGAGGGCACAAGTAGAGTCCATGTATAGGTGTCAAGGGGCTGTAGACTCCCACATCCTTCATTACCTTGAGTAGTTTCTGGGTATATTTATTTAAGTATTAAAAGAGCTGGAATGAGGAACTAGCCTTATAGATGATTCTGGACTCCATCTCTCTTCATCCCTGGCTATTGGCTATCCTAGTTGGCTGTTCTGGTTGGGACTGAGAATCCAACAATACCCGAAAGCCACAGATTTAGCATTCTGTAACAGAGGAAAAACAGCACTGGGCATTGTTAACATGAAAACATTTCCTAAATAGCAGTTGCTGTCATAATAGGCCCCTGATGGTTAAATCTATTGAGTTACATGGTCCGTTTGCTATAGATAATTCTGATGCTATTTGTTTATTTCACAGACACTGGAGAGATCTTTTTCTGTGGCCAGAATAAAGATGGACAGTTGGGACTTGGTCATACTGAGGATGTGACACATTTTACCTTATGTTCTTCTCTCTGTGGCTGTCCTGTCATACAAGTTGCCTGTGGCTGGGATTTTACAGTTGTACTTGCTGGTAAATCTGTCATAATAATTTATTAAACTTATACGCCACCTGACTCTCAACAACTCTGGGCGGCTCACAACAATCAAACAAAGAAATTGCAATAAATTCAACAAAACATAAAATATAAAGATGGCAAGCATGATGAAGAGAGGGGTCTGTCTTCCTTGCCAAAGACCTGGGTGAACATTGAAGCAAATCATTGCATGCAGTGAAAGCCTTGGACCCTATGCCTGCCTCCAAGGGTGTCCAAGATCTTCAGAGGGTATTGCATTGTATATACAAATTACAAAATATCCTATTATTGAGTGTTTTGAAATGGGACCATTTTCAGCTGAATTAAGCACAATAATTAAGAAAATGCTGTTTTGGGGCCACTCTCTCTCAGCCCAACTCATCTCACAGGGTGGTTGTTGTGGGGAAAAAAGGAGGAAGGATTATTAGGTATGTTTGCTGCCTTGAGATATTTATAAAAATAATAGAGGTGGGATAAAAAAAATCTTTAAAAAAGAGCTACAAACAAAGACTTTTGTACTCTCTGTGTGGCCAGTGCTTGTAGTGCTGCACAACTTAACAATAAAGCCCTAAAATAAAGCTAAATTAGTATTAAAAGTCCCATTCAGTTGCTTCCAGTGGGATGCAGATGTGGCTAATATTCATTGGATTATTTTATTTATTTATATATCACATTTATATAGCTGCCCATCTCATACAAAGTGACTCTGGGCAGCGTACAACAATTAAATAACAATAGATAAAAACAATAATTATAAAAGATAAAAAAGTGATTATTAAAATACAACATCATCAAAAAGTTTAAAATGTTAAATTTTAAAATATACAAACCCCATGGAGAGAGCCGAATATCAATCATAGTGGAGCCATCTAAGAATGTCCGGTTCCCAAAGACCCCCAGGATTTTATTGGCTTTTTAAAATAACAAGAATTAGATTAGACAGGATATGGTGTGCTGTGCTCAGAGTAGTTATGTACAAAGTTAAAGCACAATTCTGTTTAAGTAACTTTACCCTCCACTCCATCAAAGCCAGAGTATAAATCCTGCAGTGCACGTTCATTAGGGAGGGTATTGAACATCCAAGCATGAGATCAACACCTCAATTTAGTACAGTTTAAATTACTATTTATTAGTAATGTTCTCTCTAGGTATGCCCACATGATGACTCATACAGTAAAGGAGGTCTTCCCTCAGGGAATGATGATGGATTTCTTCAAAGGTCATCTGCAGCCTCAAAAAGCTTTCCTGGAATTGGTTGGCATATTTCTCATGGAGACTTGTTCAGATGGGCTTTCTATCATAGGCCTTTTGTAAGTTTTAGCAATATTTTTAGCTCAAAGATAATAGACCATTCATTCATTCAATTTCTGTGCCCACTTGCCAATGACTGGGTGACTTATGGAAGGTTAAAACAAGTAAAACAATCATTCCCTTATAAACTTGTAAGTCCTCTGAAGCTACTTTGCAGCTAGGAGAATTCCTTTCAGTTCTGGATTTCAGTTGTTTTGCTGGCCCTGTTTTTGTATACAGTTCCTTTATTTGCAATTGTTTTACCTCATTCTCTCCCTTTCTTCTGCCTCCTCAAGTTTTCCCTTTGATGTTCTAAAATTCTTACATTGCATTTAAGTCACACTAGAAATAATGAATGACTATAGATGACTCAAGGAATAACTATGATTACATGAATTAGAATCAACCATAGCGCTATGCAAATAATAAGTATTGTATGGCATATGGTACTGAAAATTCACATAGTTTTGACTTGAAGTAGACACTAAAGGTGTTGAAATGCACTGCTCTATCTTTCAGGAAGTGGCCAAGTATACTCTTGTGGTTCTAATTCCTTTGGGCAACTGGGAGTTCCTGATATTTCAGGCAGATGTACTATTCCAGTACTGATTAAGGTAAGGGGCCTTGAAAAGTTGGTGCTTTGGCAACTGAAGCTTTTTAATCACCTTGTCAGGGAAATAACAGCAGTTTTGTAATATGTTCATGCTTCCTGTTTATTAAGCTACCTTGAAAAATCAAGTATTCAGTTCAACAGACATTATTTTTTATGATACACATTTTCTTAAAAGTCTCCTCTC